TTGTTCCTATTGTGGTTTATACAGTTGTAGTTATGTTTAAAAGAATCAAAATTGAAGTTCCTCTGACTCAGCTTTATTTGGCCAGATCCTCTCGTCTAATGGCTATGATGCCACAATGTTAACTAGTATAAGGATGCAAGGGTAACACAAATCCTATCAGAAGTGGGATGGTTTGCAACATAAATAGAATAGTTTGAATTCCAAAATTAACCCTCTACACTCTTGTGAATGGTGTTCTAGATCACCCTATTGTATGCTCATGTTCTGATAGAAGGGATAGTTGTACTATATTGTAGTGTGCAGGTGTTTTTTTCTTTTTCTTTTTTTTTGCACATTTGTTTTTATGTTTATGAAAAAAAAATTAATGAAAACTAAAGTTCCCTCTGACTCAGCTTTACTTGGCTGGATCCTCTTGTCTAATAGCTATGATGCCACAACGTTAAAACAATCCCTTGGTTTTCCAGACAACCACACTGTCAATTAATGTTCAAGAAGTGGAAGCACTTGGTGAAGTATTGGACTTTTCACAAATCGAGGCGTAAGCATCAGGCCATGAGTCTTAATCCTCATAATTAACTATATTTTAATTTCTACATTTAAGTGTATAATATATAGTGGTATAATAATTTATAAATAAATACACTTATACGTTTTGGACAATAAATAAGAATGAAATATGGCAAGTATAAACAAACTGTAATAAACTAAGTTACATATGAATGAGATCTACTTATCGACATCCACATGGGCATATTGAAAATGGCCTAAAATTGCAGTCGTAAAATCAACCTGAATTCAAAATTATCAGAAAACAAGTTAAATCAGCAATACAGTAAAAAGTGATGTTCGCTCACACAGAAGAAGCAGATGTGTGGTAGGATTCAAAAAAAAGGAGCAAGGGAGCCTCGATTCTGGAAAAAAGAAATTAAGATATAGGGGCATCTTCTAGCTTTAGTCAAAAATCTTTTTTTAACCTCCTGCCCCTATCTGGAAGTGTGTGTTCCAATAGAGAATCACTCCATGAGGCATGAGGTATGAAACACACATTTTACTTGTGCAGCTGTGCTTCCACTGGTAAGTGTATGCTTCCAGGATGCAAATCCATTTCTTCCAAGATTTAAGGCAATTACCCTTGAAACTGTCTTTACACATGCCTTCTCAGAACAAAAAGCCTTTTCAAGGACGGCTGTCAATATATAGTTTTAGCTCATATACATGCAAAACTGAAACAAAGCAGCTTCTCAACCTAAAAGAGGATAAAAATATATCAGTTACACAAACTCTAACTTGGGCCCTGGGGATTCGTAAAGGTAGGCATTCAACCGATTAAGCAGCTATAGGTTTGACCACTGTCACATTAAGTATAATCATCAACAGCCAGAACTACTTTCCTACGGATTACATACGTTATATAGTCTACATTAATTGAATCTTATGGTGCCAAAATTACTCACTTTCACATGAAGATAGTTCTCACTAATTTAGCAAGTGACTTTTACTGTCATGTTAATTAGATGTCTGAATTTAACAGGGATATCCAATTACAGTTGAATCATGGGCAAGAGGAAGTCAAGAGCAAAGCCGCCTCCTAAGAAGAGGATGGACAAGCTGGATACTGTCTTCTGTTGCCCGTTTTGCAACCATGGGAGCAGTGTTGAATGCCGCATGTAAGCGCGACATATTCTCTTTTTTTCCTCAATACATTCTGCATCTTGAAAATCAATTACACTTTACTTGAATGTTCTTGGTACTCTTTTCTTCTTCATGATGTGTTGATTTTACTGACATTTTTTTCAGTGATATGAAGAACCTGATTGGTGAAGCTGTCTGTAGGATTTGCCAAGAAAGTTTCAGCACTACTGTCACTGGTAAACTGTGATTGCTGATGTGCTATGTAGTTACTTTATTTAGATTGCATTGTCTGAAATTTAGTTAATATTCCAAATTCTGCAGTAATAGTGGTTATGACTATCTTGACCAATAAATTGCCTGAATTCCCATGTCTGCCATAAAAGGGAGGTCCTCAGATACAAGTTTCTAAATTAAATAAGAATGCTACAAAATCATTAAATGTTGTGCATTCTTTGGATTTTTGAAAGACGACCGGCACTGTATCTAATGCTATGCTATAAAATGAAGAAACATTAGTCATTTGCTTACTGTTTAGTATGGTTCATTTATCAATCATGTTTCTATTATTGAGTATCCTCTGATAATCTTCTAATCATTTCTTCTCTTTCTTTTTCTCCATGATGCAGCGCTTACTGAGCCTATAGACATGTAAGTTGAACTGTCCTTATTCATTTACTTTATTTATTTTGATTTATGTAGTCAACGTTGTTCTAGAACAATTTTGAATGGAGCTCCTTAATAATGCAGATACAGTGAATGGATTGACGAATGTGAGCGCGTCAACAACCTGGAGGAGGATGGTGCCTAGTCTTGTAGAGGGTGGTGATGCTGAAATTACTACTAGCTGGTATGGAGATGTTATATGCATTCCCTTCGAGAAGATGCAACTTGTAAGCTATGGTATTATTATAAGATATGGTATTATTATGAAGAGTCTGGTGGTAACCTGTAAGATATGAGAACCTGTGGGGTTTTAATGTGAAATGAGGAGTTACGTTGCTTCTCGGTTGGTATGTGCAGCATGCATCCTTTACCCTGTTTGTTGTGTGATGTTGAGAGTTCCTGTTATGAGATGGTTCTACTCCTTTTGGCGGTATAAAACGCGTGCATTGTCTTTTACTTATTAGGCTCAGTTTGGGGGCTTAAAAAGGTAACCCAGATCAGCTCTGAACCAACTACATTTGGCCTAAATAGGGTAAAGTACTATCTACTTGAACTAGTTCTAATATAAACTCAGTTTGGGTAAGTTTTAAATAAAAAGGGTCCACCACTAATTCTTTTTTGGTAAACATGCACACGCATAAAGATAGGTTTCTAAGTTCGTAATCGAATTGCCTTGTCTATTTTTCTTGGACAATAATATGATTATAAATAGGATAAATTTTCAAAACCGTCCTATTTGCAAACATATTCCTCAATAATGATCCGTTTCAACTTTATTTGTCAAAACCGACCTGGTTTTCGTCCTGGGGCTGAAATCCGGTCGGTTTTGGCGAAAAAAGTTCCCAAACTTCACGGTACTTGAAGTCTCGTGAAGTTTAGCAGTCATTTAAATAAGCTGCTAAATTTCATGGGACTTCAAGTCCCGTGAAGTTTCACAATTTAATAAACTTCACGGGTCTTGAAGTCCCGTGAAGTTTATTAAAGTAACCAAAATCCTATGCGATTCTACTTCTAAAATTATGCAACTAGCCCCTCGACTTCTCAACAAATTTACACAAAAACATATATGTACATACTTGCTGCTAACTAGAGGGTATACTAACATGTGCCCACCAATCACATCCTTCAAAATATTCTACTTGTTGCTAACTAGAGGTTACACTAGCACGTGCCTCAGTTTCAGCCATCTTTACACGTGTGAGAAACTCCACGTCACCCATATCCGCGCTGAACTCCAACTCGTGCACATCTCAGCCGTTTTCTGCAAGGAGGAAAATAAATTCAAACAAACTTCACAGGACTTTAAGTCCCGTGAAGTTTGTTTGAACTACGAAACTTCACGGGACTTGAAGTTCCGTGAAGTTTAGCAGCTTTGTTAAATATCTGCTAAACTTCATGGGACTTCAACTCCCGTGAAGTTTCATAAATTTTTTTCTCCAAAACCAACCCAGTTTCAGCCCAACGGCTGAAACCGGGTCGGTTTTGAAGAATATTTTGAAACTATGTCGTTTTTTGGGATTATTTTTACAAATAGGACAGTTTTGAAAATTTGTCCTAATAAATAACTCACACATGATGGTTTTTGAACTAAATTGTCAAAACTAGAGATCATCCATCAAATTATTCTAAACTAACACTTCACGTTGATTCTAAACGCTGTCATTTGGGGTCACAGCCTTATCTAGTTTTCTTTTAGACCAGTGAACTTTTGGTTCGTTTCTGATCTAGTTATTGAGCAAAAGGGGGTCAGAGAAAATAACTGATTTAGTCCATTTTTTTAAAATTTGCCAAACTAGGGCTGAGCATTTGGACCAGCTTTGGGTCTCTACTAAAACGGGTTAAATCCATTTGCTAAACAGGCCCTTAGGCTTGATGATTTCGTGTTATACTAAAGCGTAGATTTAAATGAATGGAACCTGAAAGAGGGGTGCGACGTATGTGAACATGTTTGGAACCTATTTATTTTAAATTATGAGTATGATTATACTTACAAGGGTACAAAATTATGTTTGATAAAGTTTACTTATTTACTTAATTTTAACTTATAAGTAGGAGAGTAAATAAGTTGAGATTTTCTAACTTATATTTTTGGCATTAATAAGGAAATTTATCTACTGATGTTAAAAGACTACTTTGCGCTCTAATAAGTAAACAAACACTAAGAAACTTTTAAGGTTTCATACAAGTATTAATAAAACAATTCAAGCGGACTCAAACAGTAAATAAATAAATAAAACCCCGTACACTTTAATTGTCGTGCTTACATTCACAAAAACAGGGGGGGGGGGGGGGGGGGGGGGCGAAGAAGGGTTGCGGGCTAGAAGAACGGGTGAGGGGGCTGCTTGTGTATGCATCGAAGAAACCGGTGCCGATACCATAATTGTCAGTCATAATATCAACAAGGTACTCCTCAAAATAAATAAATAAATAAATAAAAATATCGAGAAAGTACAAATAATGTTTCTTTAAGTGGTATTCTAAAAATAATGTACCTCTACAAACTACATAGAATTGCGAGTACAGTGAACTAAATACATCTGCCGTAAGAGCATCTCCAACAGCTTCCCCATTTTTTATTTTTGGAGAATTTAGTTAGGTTTTTGGCTCAACAGATTCCCCATCTCATTCCCCAAAATAGGGATGGAGGAGAAAAAATGAGAAAACTTCCCCAAATCTACAGCATTCTCCAAATTTTTGGAGGAAAAAAGGGATTCTTCAAAATGGGAAAGCTGTTGGAGTTGGTGTAAAAATTAGTTGGAGAATATGACTTTTGCTTCCCTATTTTGGAGAAAATTTTGGAGAAGCTGTTAGAGATGCTCTAAGACCCTTTTTTTGTCCTTCCATTTTTTTTCCCATTTATTTTGTGTACCAAATATTTTAATAAATATGTTTCTTATGTACCAAAAATGCTCATATCCTCTGACCTTAGTTGTGTACCGGCTAAAATCTCTCTACACGGTAAGATAGCAGTTAGATTGTGGCTGTACAAAGACAAAACGAGAGCATGCCTTGAACAAGACTGTTAAGAATTTATGATTTTGTCCTCCCTTTTTTGGATAATTACAGTTCACTTATAAACACAAAAAAAATCAGGTTCAAAAACTGATTTGCAACGTTACCATTCTGAAACTATAGAACTCATGGGGATCTGTTCAAGGAGAAAATACCAAGGAAAATAAATAAATAAAATGAATACCATAACAGGTCAGATGTTTTGACAACGTAAAATGTAGAACACTGGATTGATCAGTGTCTATAAAACTCAAAGCTTATTTTGCAATAATCAGGGCTACATGAAGCATAGGTAATGAAAATCTGACCCCCGTGCTCAAAGATTTCAAAAATACAACATGTTTTCAAAATTGAAAGAAAACAAAAGAAGGTAAAAATCATGTAACCTGTTGGAGGCATGCAATAATATATTATGCCCTCTAGATAATACTGTATATGATGTGATAAAGATTATTGATACATGGTATTCACAAAGTTTCTCCACTATCCCTGCTTAGTACCAAAAGCAATAAAATTTACACTGGTATCATCGGAGAGAGACCACTCTCCAGTTTCATAATTGTAAACACAGGAAATCATGTGCAGGCGTAGTATCAATAGAATATTAGCATATATTTAAGCAAGAAAAGTGCAAGAAGCTTACAGATATTGAAGATCTTCGCATGATCATTACTAGTTCTTCTGGGGAAAGAAATTTGGACCATTCATGTGTGCCCCTTGGGATCTGTGAAATCCAGATGACAAAGTTTTTTCTTTAATAAAAAATTATTACCAATCCAGAGAATAAAGAATCTATACTTGATGCAACAGCTTTTTTCCCATTTTTTCTGTCTGAACTACTATGCCTATAGGCAATGTCAGGTTCAAAAATAAGGAAAATAAACCTATAACCATCCTAATACACTTGAATGTCAGGAAACAACAGACCTGTCTCACTGCAGTCCTATGTTCCGTGTTCACAAACAAATTCAGATCTCATGCCATCTTATGAGGCCTGAGCAGTATTAACTATTTGATCTCTAGAATAAACGAGATGTTGACCAACTCGAAAGAAAAGTAAGACCATTGAAAAGTAAGACCATTGCAACTTAAAGAATCTGGGTATGATCATCAGCAATACGATAAATTAGTAATAGAAATAAATGGTTGCATTTTCCTTCTCAATCACTATCCTTTAATTATGGATTAAGCGAATGACTGAATATTTGCCACTCTTCGTTGACCTGATTAATGCTGTTTTCCAATCAAAAAAGGGTAGGTTCTAATCAAAGACTACCTCCTAAGAAATATCTGGGAATGGCCATGTCAGTTTGACCACTACTTAAAAGTACATAACATAATGCAGATATAAACACTAATAGGTTTCTAAAACAAGACTTCTATTTGTTAGTCCAAGTGTACCAACACCCAAGGCCCTTATATATCTACCAGACCAAGAGATTCTACCATGTCTACTAATCCACATACTTCAGCATCACTAACAGGATGATTTGACAACTTCTCGGCTTGGGACATGACATTATTAAAGTCGCCCATTAACATCCAAGGCTCATTAACACTGCAACCCTTAAGCAAATTCCACAAAGATTGCCTCTGAACAGCACAATTAGAAGCATATACCACTGATGTTTGGAAATTAATAACATCAACCATGTCTTTCACCTGACAATGAATTACTTGATAACTACTATGGAAATTAATCACTTCTATACATTTTCATGACTATTTACAGATTAAGCTTTGACTCTAACATCTTTCTGTAGAATAGTGAATATTTCCTGAATGCAACTAACGTTTATATAAGTCACTAGTTTCATACATTTTTTTCTTGCGTTAATACTCTCAAGGTAAAAATGAACGCAAATCTCTTAAGGTAAAAATGAACGCAAATGAATATCTTAACATGAAATGGTTATGAAAGGTAGTTTGACGTTGAGGATGTTTGACGTTGAGGATGTGCTCTAGAATTGTCCAAATTGAATCTTTTCAAAAAGATGTTACAACTGAGAACATGTTTAAGGAGTATTCAAATAAGTGCATGTGTCTTTTAAGGAGTATTCAAATAAGTGCATGTGTCAAGCACATGCCTGAAACGAACATATCTTCTAATAGAGTGCCTGTGGCCCTGCCACATAGATCACCTATTCCCTAAGCTAAGGGGAGCATGCCACATGTTGCTGACTAGTGAAGCTGCTATGTTGCTAATAAATCAATATTACTTAATACATGAACTGCAGTTAGAGTCCAACTTACCCACTTTAGAAGGTATTCAGCAGCAACAATTGCAGCAGCATATGATCTTACAGAGCGGTTAATGGTGGAGATCACAGTAGCACCATTTGGAGCAGTTAATGCAGCAAGAGACTTGCAAAACTCTGAAGGATCTGCAACATGCTCAATCACCTGTAGTCAAATTGACATCAATTGGCCACTGAGAAACCTCAACATACATAACAGGCAAGAAGTACTAATGACACTAAAATAAAATATTTTCCTTATGATTAAGTCAAAAAGATTCCAAATACACTAGAATCCTAACTTGATATCTTTTATATTTTCCACCTAAAACCAAAGACAAAATACTATGCAGATGAGCCAATCAGAATATCCAAAAAATCCCATGCCTGAGCTTGAAAATTAGCTTCTATACTTCTACTTAAGCTTGGGAACATGGAAGGAAAAAGAATAAAAAGAAAAAGAAAAGGGGGTCCCATTAACGGTCCAGATTCCCATATTCAAGTTTCTTGGAAAAATTCAGCATTGAAAGCCATAATATATGTTTTAATTTTTCTTAAAACAAATTTAAAATTATGAATAGAGAAGGGGATGGTGGCCCACATAATAACAACTTGGTCTAAAGATCAACGTTAAGCAGAAATGCAAATTGTTTAAACAAAGCTTTAGGATTGATGCAGATGCAGTCTCCAAAAAGATGGCTAATTTTCAGTTTATTAGGGTATCTTCTAAGTCAAGATGGGGATTCAGGTAATGGCTATGCTCCCATTCTAAAAATTAATGAGTTGAGAATGGCCTGAACAAAGCCCAAAATAGCCAAGATTGATGCATATTGAATAGCATCTTATTCTGCCCAAAAGCTAAATCCTGGTATGTGTAAGGTGTAAAGTAAGATATAATTCGAAGAGTTGAATCCGGTTATTATTTTAGGTTCTAACTTCTAAACGACCCAGTTTAGCCAAGTTCAGTGATGGAATTTCAAGAGTGCTCAAGTGAATGGACTTCATCCCACCATGATGGATCTTATATTATAATCAAACTTGTAGCTTATTTTTTTAGTAGGGGAACCAGATGGACAAAAAAATCAGGTCTGACATATAGGTCCAGAAATTTTGTCAATATGTATCCATGTCTACAAAAGATCAAATGGAATGGAAAAGAGATTTTATCTTTATTTATTTATTTATTTATTTATTTATTTATTTTTCGCTGAAGAATAAAGTGCATCTAATACAGATCATATGAAAATGAAAGTAAGTGGGGAACGACTATCGAATCTGTTTTGCCGAGACACAAGACTGCTACTTGGTTATTCAAGAAACATAAAGTTATCAAATATTCAAGGGTCTCTAAGATGATAATTTTATGAGAAAAAACAAAAATAACAAAAAGTACATAGGCTGATAGGCATTTGCATTCATAAGGAATCAATAATTTACTCAAGATACAACATACCTCAAGAGCAAGCACAGCATCAAACATTTTATTTTCTCTAACCAATTGTTCTGATTCAAAGAAACAAAAACATTTCTTTATAATTATGTAACACGACTAAAATGAGTTGTATACTAGATTAAAAGTTGAAATCATGCGTGCAATATGCCAAAAAGATTAAGTTGTTTCAAACAAGCTGGTGTAGCATGAGTTCAGCATAACAAATGAAAGCCAGCAAGATGAACAAAGGGCAACCAGATGTACCCACCATTATATTACAAGGTATTGATAGCAAAAAAGTGTCTCTAATCAACTAGGGAAAAAATTTCCTTTCTTATGGAGAAAAAGGACTGATGCCCTCATGTGAATTATATTTCTTATCAGAAAAGGAAACTTTGAAGAACCTTGGGCAGTCATTAACCAGTCAATGGTTAAAAAAAACATTAGTTTAAGGTCAAAGTTCAACTATAATAAGGAATATTCTGTCTCAAGGGTATAAATTAATAATCAATTAATTAAAATGGCTCCAAACAACACTAGTTCAGTTATAATTCAGATATTATTGAATCTATATAGTCACAGGTGGCAACTTAGTCTCGATTATGGGATAACTCGATCTGATTTCAATCAGACCTTCAGATTTCTATTCTTATCATATCTGGTAACTTACTAGGAAGGCTATGGATCCTAACCATAGATCCGTTCCTTATTTAATTTAAAAATGGGACCCTTTATGATCTAAGCCCAGTGTAATAAGTAGTTATGCCTATGTGAATACACACATGCCTGCCCGCCCGCCCGCCCATACAAACATACGTGCATGTATGCATATATAAACACGCACGGGTATGTATAGATATTAGATATGTATTAGTCATATGTGTGTGTACATACATACATATATACATGCATACATACACAGACATATATTTTTGCACACGCTCCTCAAGCAGTAGAAACTTACAATTTTCACGATATCAGAAACAGTAAAAACATGATGCTTTACTAACAGCCTGCACCTAAATCCTTTTTAACAAAAATCAATTATCCCATAAATCCGTAGTCAGAAAATAGCTATACAGCCAGAACTTCAGCATAGAAAAGATCAACCTTAAAATTCGGAATAACAAAAAATGAACAACGATGAAGCTGGAGAGTTTGATTAAGAATCTAAGGGCTTGTTTGGCAACCTCACTAACCAAGTTAATAGAACTGACCTAGTTTTGGGCTTAGATTCTGTATGGCAAAAGCTGGTTCAAGATTGGACTAGTTTTTTTAGTTCAAAAAAGAGGCCCAGGTTATCTTTGGACCAACTCCATCTTGGTTCAATCCTAATCTGGTTCAGGCCTAAACCGGATTAGTGTGGAGTTTCCAAACACACCCGAACAGTAAGACAATAAATGCAAAAGATTGAGAAAATATACCAGCTGTTGTGCAGGAATAGTCAATAGATGAAGTAAGCGGATCAAATCCCTGGGAGATTAACAGATTGAAAAGACAAATAATAAGAATGCAGAAGTCTTAAATATCATGAAACATAATCTGACAACATTAATGAGGCATTATATGCAAGAAAAAACAGTCCAAGCAACATCTTTCACATAGGTTGAGTATGTAACAGAAGAGTGACTACACAATTCAAGCTTCCAAACACAAAGACGTTAAAGTGGTAACATAGTCTGGAAGTATATAAAAGCAAGTTCCTCCAAGTATTATAAGAAATATTTTTTACATATACATTTAAGCAATAAAGTGAAACAACTTGCATAAAATTCACAAACTATGACACCAACACAATCTCATAATTGCAACATACTGGAGCTGTGACTAAAAGATTTGACACGAGAATTAGTATCATCAAGCAAGTTTACAGAAAAATTCATGTTCAAGAGTTTTCCATGTATCAGACACTCCAAAATTCCCATAACGCTCTAATTCATAAATAAATGACTATCACAATGCAGTTCCAGAGCTTTTGTATGTAAGACACTGACTAAATCGTGTCCTATGTCTAAGAGCATCTTGTTATCTATGAACATCTTGTTAAATTCTACCTATATTTTCAGTTGATAACTTACTATGTTAATGTATGCACATGTCTACACAATGCAAATCTATAAAATATAGTCAATTGACCCCTGTAAGATTTTCAGAAGGTTGGTAAATGAAACATTTCTGGACACCCGTCCACACTTATCCCATGACCAGATAAACTTGTTGTCAAGCATTGCCACTGCAGGAGTTTGGAAGGAAGCACTCTTGCGTCGAAACTCAGATAACACAACTAAGTGAGTTGGATGCAGCTTGCTTACAGAAGTGCTTCATATTCTAATCACGCATGTTTTCTTTTTGATGTATTCAACCAGAAACTTGTGGCATTCTTCCTAAAAAAATATGACTAGAAAGGATATCAATGTTCATATGAGAGGGAACCTTCTAGGATGCCCCTTTTTTGTGTGGAAGCATATCCTGTATCTTCCCATGCAGTTAGGTCTCATGTAGACAAAATGAGTTAAAACATAATCCCAAAAAAGGGAAGATCCCAATACAACTAAGAGACCAAAAAATCAACTTTACTGAAGAACATTGGAAATTGTAAACAAAATAATCATATGATATGCATCAATCAAAAAGAAGGATAACTGTGAAATATGTCCTTCATATCTTGTGTAACTTATTTGATCTCATAACAGTTAGATAAATACAAAGAGAGAGAGAGAAACATATATTCTGCTTGTATTCATTTACTGTGTTATGTAATATCTTTCTCTCCAAGTGAGTAATGATGTATTTGAGAATCTGATCCTGCATTTATTTATTGTTTTGTGTAATCGGAAATAACCCTTTGTCTTAGTTTCTTTGTATTTTCTGTTAAGACTTCCAGGCTATGTTATGACTGATCATCATGTGCATAAGAACTTAAAGATCACGGATCTACATGCTAAAGGTGTGTTTAGCAGCTGCATGCAAATTTGTTTGTTTTGAAGTTTATCTGGTTAGTAAAACTAGTGCACCGAAGGTTGGATGTTGACATATAGGTTTAACATATACAAAAGGAGATATTAATAAAATGAATGTTATCACTTGAGAATCATTTTTTTAGCTTGTCAGACGTATTTCTTCATAAGTAAACAAGATAAAAGTTGACTCCCTAAATATTAGAATAGTGATGTAGTAGATTAAAGCAAGCTGCGCCGATTTAAACAAAATAAAGCATACAACCAAATCATAAAGTCTTGTTTCATATTTTCCTGCCAAACTCAAGGCCAGAGAGTTGCATTTTAATTGAAATACAAATGCCTAGCCTGCAGTAGAATCGGCATGCTACAAGCAGACATCAGGCCAGCTAGTGCATCCTTTGAGAAAGGATGTTAGACAGCTTTGTTCAGCCCCACCTAGCATGCTACATGATGAGCAAAGTAGTAAGGGTAATATTTGACTGTCAAGTCCCCAGAGAATTTCTAAACCATAATGTATGTACGTGTATCTGTATGTGTAGTATGACTATTGAAACTAACGTCCTT